GTCGGGCGAAAGACTCCAAGATAACCACACATGCTGGAGAATGCCGGGGCGGGTTTGGGAGTTGAAGATATGTTGACTGTTGACATGCTCTGATCCATCCGGCCTCCAGCCGGAACTTCTGCTCCCATTGGAGCTTGCCACCGAGGGTTTTGCGGCCCAGTAGCCGCGTGTCAGCCTCTCCATCTCGGCAGAGACTGTCCATGGCAAGGGGAGCTAACGCTCGAGGCCACTGAAGTCAGACAAATGTTTTCCTGTCCTGTCATGCAGTGCGTAGAACTTGCATGGATCAATGTGAGAGATCCTTTGAGCCACAAGCCGGTGGCAACAACAGACATGGCTGCTCAGCAAATTCGACTGGGCTCTCGTACTCCATGAGAAAACAGTTCATGCTTTCTGCTCCAGGCAGACGTGTTGCCATTTTGATGTATGTAAATCATGAAGTCACAATTCTCGCCCAGTATTGCAGAATCGCAATGCCCAGCTGTCATAACCAACAATTGCCATGTTCCAAAATTGATTCTGGGGCGGCTGCTTTGGGTGGCAGCTGCCTCAGCTTTTGAATCCATAACACAGAGGCAGAACTGAAGCGGACAAACGTGAGATGAAGTGAGTGCACTAGAAACTCTGCGAAGCACCCGAGAGCTCTGGTGTCATCGGTCACATCGATGCGACCTGGTAAGGCAGCACCCGTGCACAAGCAGCCATCCAAAAATCGGATCCCACGGATTCCTACAAGTATCATCTTACCTAGATCTAGATATAGATAGGCCAGGACCTCTTAGACGAGCGGTGATCAAAGCTTGCCGGCTGGACCGAAGCGGACCAGGTGCTGGTACTTCTGAATCTGGTTCTCCCAGAAAGGATGAAAACTCGCCTTAGCCAGCTTTAGATCTTCGGGTCACCCTATTGCCGAAAAACTCCTAAGCAGCAGGCACAGTGGTGATTGTCTGGTCGGAAGACCTTGAAAGATACGGTCCCAATTCACTCTCTGTCATGCGGAAGTCTTCCAAGCTTTGCCTGCACAATCCACACGTCGTTGGAGAAGGTCACAAGCCTTGAAAAGCGCAGCTTTTGGACCCACCACCCATTCTCTGAGACACCCCTGAGGCTGGCAGCTCATCGAAGTTTGCCTTGTTCAAGGGGACGCTCTTGGGAGACGTCAATTCTGACGCAGCCTCAGAGCGACATGAACAGGCGTGCGTCGGACGCACTTTTTGCTGGGTGCCCCTGCTGCACCGCCGGCTTCGTCATAAGCAGCGCGCTTTGAGTCATCCGACCTTGCCAAAACCCATTCTTCTCCATGTG